TAATCACTAGAGGATTGGATTCATGGTTGCAATATCTAATTTCTATTAATTTGCTTTTATATATTATGAACTTCAGTTTCTTTATATGCCAAAACAAAACCACTAATTTGGAAACCTCTGTCATTGTTATGATGCCTTATTGTTCGTGACAATGTCAAACTCAATGATATTTTGCTCCTATTGCGTGTGAATGTTTCTTCTTCCTATTAGTTTGTTGTATCCTATTTGAATACGTATGCCAAACCGGGCTTCCTACTAAATTGAGCATTACCTGTCTGGACACTTCGTTGTGACCGGTACCCTCGCGCCAAGGCGCGTTTCTGATCTAGTGTACAATATAGTTAATAGTTAATAAGCAGGCAACAAGTTGGATCGATTCTTCGAAGTGTTGGAGTATAATCTTCAGCCCTTTCCCGTGGTTCGGGCTTTTGAACCATGAATTCAATATGTTATCTGAGTTAAAAGGTCTTGAATTCAAGATCCTGCCAGCATAGTATTGAAAAAGATTGTGCGGCCTACATCGATCCCACCTTTAAGCACTATAATAAGCCTAGAAGCGAGTGGGAGTGTTGAAATATATTGCCCGCCTCCCTCCCTTCATTAGTTCAAACTTTTGGATGAGTTGGCTGGAGTATGAATTCAATATGGTATCCGAGCCAGGAGGTCTCAAATTTAAGACCCAGTCAACGTGAAATTAAAAATAGAAGATTCTGCAGCTTACATCGATCTACGTTTAAGGACTAAATGAGCATAGACGTCAGGGTAGTGTTGAAATATGTTACCCACCTCTCTTCATCAGTTTGCACTGATGGGTGAACTGGTTAGGTGCATAAACTTGCAACGAAAAAGTTCATGGTTAAAAAACCCAATAAACACAATAAGCAGACTCGCCGAGTTGGCCAAAAGTCTTGTCGATTTACAGACGTAGGTCTCTTACATCGTCGTTATTTTCAGTACCCTCCTCCTAGCTTGGCTCGGGGAACTGAGAGGTTGGCCAACCACATTTTTGGTCTAGCACAACACGTTCGTGGGGTGGCTCTCCGGCGTTAATATCTTGCACCATGTGTTCTTTGAAAGGACTATGGTGATGGCAGACAACAACGAGATTTGCAGCAATGGAAGTATGGGAAAGAGGATAAAACGTGGATGCATAAGGTTTTGGGAGGGGCGCGGGCCGGCTTTTAATTCCAGGGTAGACTTCTGTGGCGGCATTGCTGGTCGACCCGGTATGAATGCAGGTAGGAGGGAAGGTGGTGAGCCTCCATGAATGAGGAGCGGGAAGTGAAAACAGGAGGGTGTCGAGCCTCCATGAATGAGAAGCGGGGATTGAAAATGGGAGGGTGTCGGAGTCCGATGTGATGGAAGTCCAGACATCATCACTAGTAGAAAACAGGGCTTACGTTCGGGCCAGATAAGCCCATTAGTCCCGGTTCAGTCACGAACCAGGACACATTGGCCCATTGGTCCCGGTTCGTGAGGCCAAGGGCCTGCCGGGCCTCGTGGGGGTATTGGTCCCGGTTTGTCTGGCCTCTTTGGTCCCGGTTGGTGGGATGAACCGGGACCAATGGGCCTCGCTCCTGGCCCATCACCATTGGTCCCGGTTGGTGCCACGAACCGGGACCAATGAGATGCCTAAATAGGTAGGAACAAAATAAAATAATTAAGTAGAAACAAGATAAACTTTAATAAATAAGTAGAAACAAAATAAACTTTAATAAAGTAAAATAAATAAACTTTAATAAAATAAATAAAAATAGCAACAGTAAGTAGAAACAAAACAAAATAAATAAAGCAAAAAAAAAGAATTTTCATAAAATAAATAAAAAATGAAAAAATAAAAGAAAATAAACAAGTAGAAGCAAAATAAACTTTAATAAATAAGTAGAAACAAAATAAACTTTAATAAATAAGTAGAAACAAAATAAACCTTAATAAAGTAAAATAAATGAACTTTAATAAAATAAATAAAAATAGCAACAGTAAGTAGAAACAAAATAAAATAAATAAAGCAAAAAAAGAATTTTCATAAAATAAATTAAAGAAGCAAAAAAGAAAAGAAAAGAAATAAGTAGAAACAAAATAAACTTTAATAAATAAATAGAAACGAAATAAACTTTAATAAATAAGTAGAAACAAAATAAACTTTAATAAATAAGTAGAAACAAAATGAAATTTAATAAAGTAAAATAAATAAACTTTAATAAAATAAATAAAAATAGCAACAGTAAATAGAAACAAAATAAAATAAATAAAGCAAAAAAAAGTGGCACCTACTGGGCCACCACGGCCTGAATACAACTAGAAACCCAACCATGGGCCAGGATTCAGGCCCGCAGAAGGCCAAGTAGGCCCACATGCAACATAGTGTGTGATTAGGCCCAGTAAGCATGCATTTGAGAGGAGCTCGAGAGGGGCAGCCGCAGTGGGGCTTATAAAGAGCCACTCCGAGCTCCTCTCAACTAGTGAGGTGAGACTAAACATTTCGCCGCGGGGCAATACAAGGCCTTTGGTCCTGGTTGGTGTCACCAACACGGACTAAAGGGAGCTTTGGTTTCGGTTGGTGCCACAAACCGGTACCAATGCCCTGAG